ATGCACAAAGGAAAGAAAAAATATTGGACTAAATCTAGGCCCACCAGAGCTTAGCGATCAGAAGATAAAGTATGTAAAATGGTTCACACATTTTGAACTGGTTTAAAAAATATGTGTATTGGTTTTAACCCTTATTGTGAACATTATAACAAGTAGATGTTAATGGCCAAAGGTAAACTTAATCGAACTGCATATGAGCTACCCCTCACCTCTACCCTTTCTTTAGAGCCAACCAATTACTTTTGATGGTTCCTGAGTTTCAGAATTTCTAATGGTTACCCCCTATGAAAAGACTTTTCTTTCTTTTTTCATCATAATCTTCAAAAACTCATAGAAGTTTTCCTTTTTTTTAAAAAAAAGCAAAGATAAAGATTCAGTGTAGAGATCTTTTTAATTGGATCAGAAATATGAGTGGCTGAGAATGTTTGGCCAAATCACTAGCACAGTAACTTCAAGAGATGGTCTTTGGGGGGTCATAGAAAGTCAAAGAAGCATAAAGGAGTTTTCTCACACTCATTTCTTCTGGGTAAAACAGTGTATGTGTGTAAATGCATTCCTGTGTATGTATATGAGAGAGAGAGAGAGAAACACTCATATATGCAACAGGAAGGAGAGGCGAGAGCGATCTCATTTCTTTGACTGCAAGACTGGCCTAGAAGTAGGTCACGAGGTTACATAGGGAACCCATTTCCTGCTCTCATCTAGAAATGACCAACAGCCCAACTGTAGCTAACTGAGGAAAGGTTCAGCTACTGCGTCAATACTGTAATTAACAGAAATAACTTCTTTAAAATGTAGGAAGAATACCATGAATGTCTAAAGTGTTGGCTACCAGTTCAGAAATCTGTTCCTGTTCTAATACTGGGTCTGTGGGCTGACAAGCAGTAGGTCTACCGCCCACATCTCTTTTGATGAATAGCTTTCAGTTCTACCAAGGGAATCTGTGGTGAGAGAAAAAAAATGCATTAATGTCTGATTGATTGGTTTGCCAGTTAGATTTCAGGTTAATGGATTAACTTAGAGATTTTTACTAAGGATATCCAAGTATTCAAGAATGATGAGACATATTATTACTAACTTGCCTTAACATACCACAGGACCCTCCCCCATCCCCCTACAACAGACTTAAAAATACAAAAGGAAATAAAGTGGTAAAGTTGTCTATGATGTCTGAAGCTAGATTCTATAGCACAGCAGGTCTCACTATACTGTCATTACTATTTTTTGGTATGTTAGAACATTTCGCAGAAGTTCAACAGAAAGAAGGGTGGTAATGAGAAAGCAGACATTCCAGTGGTTTTCAATTGGAGCAGAACCATCAAATATATGATAACACAGCATCACTATTAGATTACCTCAATTACTGAATGCCCCAGTCTTCGTTTCTTTTTTGGGGGAGGGGCAGCCTTTTGAGACAGGGTCTTCCTATATATCTTAGGAAATCTTAGAACTTGTGTAGCCAAGACTGACCTCAAATTCTCAATCCTCCTGCTTTAACCCTCTAAGTGAGTGTTGGACATCAGAGACAGCATATCTTAGCTTTAATTCACTCCATATATATTTTTGGGGGTGCAGGAAGGAAGTACTGTGGTTTGAACTCTCATGCTTGCTAGGCTGGTGCTCTACCACTTGGCCATGCCTCTAGCACTGTTCTTGGCTGGTTATTTTGGAGATGGAGTCTAGTAAACATTTCTGCCTAGTTTGGCTTCAAACTATACTCCTGATCTCAGCCTTCTGAGGAGAGTTGGTAACTTATTTTATTTTGTCGTGGGGCCTGAACTCTGGGCCTGCGCGCTGTCCCTCAGCTCTTCAGTTCAAGGCTAGTGCTCTACCATTTGAGCCACAGCGCCACTTTCAGCCTTTTCTGCTTATGTGGTGCTGAGGAATCGAACCCAGGGCCTCATGCATTTGAGGCAAGCGCTCTACCACTGAGCCACCTTCCCAGCCCCAGAGTTGGTAACTTGATAGCTTTTCCCCCCAAAAGTTTTTAACCCTTTCCATGGTAGCCTTTGAGACAAATTAAATAATGTGTATTAAACTGTATATTTAAACAAACAAACAAAAAGCATTTGCTGGGAACTGGTGGCTGATGCCTGTAAATTCTATCTACTCAGGAAGCTGAGAGCTGAGCATCACAGTTTGATGCCAGCCTGGGCAGAAAAGTTCCCATGAGATTCTTATCCAATAAACCACTTAGAAACTGAAAGTGGTGCTGTGGCTCAAGTAGTAGAGTATTAGCCTTGAGTACAAAGAGGCTCAGGGACAGCGCCCAGGCCCTGAATTCAAGTCCCACAACTGACAGGGAGGACAAAGACATTAAAAAAAATCCTGTTTTGTTGGGCACTAGTGGCTCATGCCTGTAATCCTAGCTACTCAGGAGGCTGAGATCTGGATTGCAGTTCAAAACCAGCCCAGAGGCTGGGAAGGTGGCTTAGTGGTAGAGTGCTTGCCTAGCATGCATGAAGAAGTCCTGGGTTCAATTCCTCAATACTGCCTAAACAGAAAAAGCTGAAGTGGCCCAGTGGCTCACATGGTGGAATGCTAGCCTTGGGCAAAATTGCTCAGGGACAGTGCCTAGGCCCTGAGGTCAAGGCCCAGTACTGGCAAAAACAAAACACAACAAAAATCAGCCCGGTCAGGAAAGTCTGTGAAAGTCTTGTCTCCAATGAACCACCAGAAGACTGGAAGTGGAGGTGTGGCTCAAGTGGTAGAGTGCTAGTCTTGAGCTGAAGAGCTCAGGGACAGCGCCCAGGCCCAGGGTTCAAGCCCCACAACCGACCAAAAAAACTCTGGTAAAAGCCATTTTATTTTATTTTTGTGTCAGTCATGGGCCTTGAACTCAGGGCCTGGGCACTATCTCTGAGCTCTTTTGCTCAAGGCTGGTACTCTAGCACTTTGAGCCACAGTACCACTTCCAGATTTTGAGCAATTAATTGGAGATAAGAGTCTCATGGGGACTTTTCTGCCCTGGTTTGAACTGCACACCTCAGATCTCAGCCTTCTGAGTAGCTAGTATTACAGGCATGAGTCAGTGAAACTCAGCTTTAAAAAAAATTTTTTTTTATGCCAGTACTGGGGCTTGAACTCAGGGCCTCAAGCTCTCGCTTGGCTTTTATTGCTTAAGTCTGACCCTCTACCACTTGAGCCATACCTCCATTGTAGCAAGAGTTCTTTCAAAGCCCTCAACATCTGCTTCTTTGAACTGCTTTTCTTTTGTTAGTTTGAAACTTTGTTCTCCAAAAGCTTTAACTGCTAATACTTGGCAGAGAGGAAGAGCACTTCAGGACAGGTGTGTTTGGCAAAGAACTAAGGCCTGTCCCTAGGGATATGAACATCAGGCAAGATATGTTAAAGCTTGTTTAATGGTCATTATGATATACAGGTGGTGGTAGATTCTGATGACCTGCTGTGTCACTGGTTTGGGGGGGGGAGTGGAAGGGACATGAGGGTGATGTTTATATATGGCAGGTATAAAAAAATGAGTGATTTCCTTCTAGTAATGAGCTTGTCCCCAAATTGGCCAGTAGGGATTTGAGGCCAGGCTAACTAAAAGGAAATGAACTACCTTCCCTAGTATTTTGTGTGTGTGTGTGTGTGTGTGTGTGTGTGTGTGAGCCATGGGATTTGAACTCTGGGCCTGGGTGCTGTTCTTCAGCTCTTCAGCTTAAGGCAAGTGCTCTACCACTTGAGCCGCAGTGCCACTTTCGGTTTTCTGGTGGTTCATTGGAGATAAGAGTCTCCTGGACTTTCCTGCCTGGGCTGGCTTTGAACCATGATTCTCAGATCTCAGCTTCCTGAGTAGCTAGGATTACAAGCGTGAGCCACCGGCACCCGGCTTTCCTCAGGGAGAATTACTGGCATACCAGAAGTTCCTTGTATGAATTGGATTATCGATCAACTGGTTGTTGAGGTGGTTGCTGTTGTCTCCGTCCTGGGGCTTGAACTCAGGGCCTGGGCACTGTTCCTGAGTTACTGTATTTTTGTTTTTACCGGTTTTTTGTTTATGAATATGATGCATCTTGATCGGTGTCATCCCTTTACCATTCTCACCTCCCTTTGATTCACTCTTTCCCTTCTTTTTCTTTTTTTTTTTGGGGGGGGGGGAGGTCCGGTCGTGGGGCCTGAACTCTGGGCCTGGGCGCTGTCCCTCAGCTCTTCAGCTCAAGCCTAGCGCTCTACCACTTGAGCCACAGCGCCACTTCCGGTTTTTTTTTTTCTTTTTGCTTATGTGGTGCTGGGGAGTCGAACCCAGGGCCTCATGCAAGGCAAGCACTCTACCACTGAGCCACCTTCCCAGCTCTCCCTTATTTTTCTTATTCTGTGGTATCTTCCACAAGTTCTTGACCACATTTTCCCTCTTTCCCCACTTCATTTGCCACCCACCCTTGCAAGAACCCATAACTAGTACTTATTTTGTTGGACTTTGACTTTGTCTTTCTACAAAATTACACTATTTGGGATCTCCATAGATTCTACTCTACTGCGATTAGTTCATTTGTAACCATGTGTATTTCACCCTACCCCATGTTTTTTCTATGGTATAGGCTCATTCTAGCTACCACAAATGAGGGAAACCATTCAGTCTTTGTTTTTCTGGGTCTGACTTATTTCACTTATTATAAGTTTTTGTAGATGTTCCTGAGCTTATTTGCTCAAGGCTGGTGCTCTACCATCTGAGCCACAGCTCCACTTCCAGACTTTCCTGTCTGGACTTTGACCTGGAACTTCAGATCTTAGCCTCTTGAAAGGCTAAGATTCCAGGCGTGAGACACCAGGGCTGGGAAGAAGGTTTTTTAAAATCAGAATGGGAATAAGGATAAGCTGAGATCTTCTGGATTTGTGGTACTTAAGGCAGAAAATTCACAGGATGTGGCACAGCTGTAAGTTTGTAGCAGGAAAGGCCAGTTAAGATCGTAGAGCTTGCAGTTCAGTACTTTTCTTCTTATGTCTGTAGATTTCCGAGAGACCTTTCTGCCTATGCTGGAAACCGTTTCATTGGAATGGATGACAGATGGGTTAATAAAGAGCCAAGTCAGAGATTGGACCTTTCCTTGTGTGAAGAAGAAACCGAAAACCAAGAGCAGACGATACCACCACCGAGTGAGGAGGCCCAAAGTCGAACCCCAGAGAGAGGCGAGGCTCAGGATTTGGAGGCTCCCAGGACTCCCCTCCAGACGATACCACCACCAAGTGAGGAGGCCCAAAGTCGAACCCCAGAGAGAGGCGAGGCTCAGGATTTGGAGGCTCCCAGGACTCCCTTCCAGAGGATAACACCACAGGAGGAGGCCCAAAGCCCAACCCCAGAGAGAGGCAAGGCCCAGGATTTAGAGGCTCCCAGGACTCCCCTCCAGACGTTACCACCACCGAGTGAAAAGGCCCAAAGTCGAACCCCAGAGAGAGGCGACGCTCAGGATTTGGAGGCTCCCAGGACTCCCCTCCAGACGATACCACCACCAAGTGAGGAGGCCCAAAGTCGAATCCTAGAGAGAGGCGAGGCTCAGGATTTGGAGGCTCCCAGGACTCCCCTCCAGACGATACCACCACCAAGTGAGGAGGCCCAAAGTCGAACCCCAGAGAGAAGTGAGGCTCAGGATTTGGAGGCTCCCAGGACTCCCCTCCAGACGATACCACCACCGAGTGAGGAGGCCCAAAGTCGAACCCCAGAGAGAGGCGAGGCTCAGGATTTGGAGGCTCCCAGGACTCCCCTCCAGACGATACCACCACCGAGTGAGGAGGCCCAAAGTCGAACCCCAGAGAGAGGCGACGCTCAGGATTTGGAGGCTCCCAGGACTCCCCTCCAGACGATACCACCACCAAGTGAGGAGGCCCAAAGTCGAACCCTAGAGAGAGGCGAGGCTCAGGATTTGGAGGCTCCCAGGACTCCCCTCCAGACGATACCACCACCGAGTGAGGAGGCCCAAAGTCGAACCCCAGAGAGAAGTGAGGCTCAGGATTTGGAGGCTCCCAGGACTCCCCTCCAGATGATACCACCACCGAGTGAGGAGGCCCAAAGTCGAACTCCAGAGAGAGGCGAGGCTCAGGATTTGGAGGCTCCCAGGACTCCCCTCCAGACGATACCACCACCGAGTGAGGAGGCCCAAAGTCGAACCCCAGAGAGAAGTGAGGCTCAGGATTTGGAGGCTCCCAGGACTCCCCTCCAGATGATACCACCACCGAGTGAGGAGGCCCAAAGTCGAACTCCAGAGAGAGGCGAGGCTCAGGATTTGGAGGCTCCCAGGACTCCCTTCCAGATGATAACACCACAGGAGGAGGCCCAAAGTCGAACCCCAGAGAGAGGCGAGGCCCAGGATTTAGAGGCTCCCAGGACTCCCCTCCAGGACATACATGCGCGTGACAGCTCTAGGGAGAGCGACCAAGAAAGTCCGGATTCCATGATTCGGAGTCTAAGGTCAGAATCCCCCAAATGTCCAGCAACCCCAGCACGACCTGGCAGAAGAAGCGACCCGTGGCTCAGTGTCTGCCCTGCTACACCTAAGGTCAAAGTAAGTAAAGCCTCCTTCAGCTCTGGGTGGATTTGCAGGTGTGATAACCAGCCTCCCGGGTGACTAGGACCTCTGACGTATGTGTGAGTGGAAATGACAACACAGTGAAAACACAACAGAAATGCATGTCTTGCCCCTTTGTCTTCTCAACACCTATCCATGCCAGCCACGATTTGGTATTGGACACAGTTAAGTGTTGGGTGGAGAAACGTTCTTAGTTAAAAAGTACTAGATCTGGAAGGAATATGGGGATCTACACCTAGCCTGTGCTCTTAGGAGAAAAGCAAAGTCCCAAGAGATAAGCTCAGCCAATGGCAGACCAGATGAGCCACGTGATCTGTGGGCTTTGTTGAGTGTTCTTTTCCATTCTGACAGCTGACTGTATTTGGGGGTAATTAGTTACAAATGTTTCCTAAACTGGGACGTTCACTCTTTGAACATGTTTATATGTCTCAGCTGCTGTGCTCCCTAGAATTCCTCTCCTCTCCTGCCTTAGTGAAGTGCAGGCTCTCCCTAGGCAACTTCTCGGTATTTCTATACATAGGTAACTTGTTGGTATTTCTTTAAAAATTGAGATGGCAAGGAAGCAATGGTTGCTAATAGTTACCTACTCCTTTATCTTGGCCGTGATTGGTGGAGTATATGACTGATGTAATTCAAGCCAAGGTTGGGACCATGGTAACTCTTGAGTGAACTCTGGTGCCATGGTTTGTGGTGCTCTCAGATGGTATTAGCTCTGCTCTCTGCTGCTCAGCTTGAGGTCCTTAAGAACATTCAAGTAACATCTGTGATGCTGCGTGCAGGATAGTCGCTGCCAGCGGGCCCCTGTAGGGCCTGCTGGGTATGCAAACTGTGTTTAACAGGAGTTGCTAAGCTTCTTGTCTGAACTGCATACAAATTAATATGTCCAGGGGTCCATCGGTGAATTTTTCAGTGGTTCAAAGACCATCTGAATAATCATGCTTTTTGATTTTTCCTTTTTGAGATTCCATGTGCATAAGGCACATAAGACCCAATCTTTGTCCATAAAGACCTTACCTTGCAGAAGAGGGGGGGGGGACAGAGGGAGAATGGGAAGAGTTGTGCCGATAGATGTTCTGTGATAAATGCTTCAAGAATGCTGGGAATTCTCTGGGCTGATTCTCAGGGGGAAAAGAGAGGGAGGGGGAATCAAGAAAGGTGAAGAAAGACTAACTGGCAATGGAAGTTGGTACAGTGTTGATATCTGGTAGAGAACAGGCCAAGAATGTGGCTCAAATAAGAGAACAACAGGCCGTAAAACACGATCTGTTTACATCTTTCATTCATTTTATTGTTCACAACTTAACTGAACATCTTGCCATGTGAGCAGACCCTCTGTGGGCACAATCCCTTTACTGCTTTCAACAACAGGCCCTTAAGATGAATAAAGAGAAAAACGGAAGCAATAATTAAAGTTCAGATCATGCATGGTGGAAGAATGGCAGAAAATGATAAAAGAGAAATTAGGAATTACATTTAAAAGTATCAGGGAAGGCTTCCAAAGGAAGTAGTGTTGGAGAAGAACCTTAAAGGATGAATTGGAATTATCCAAGTAAAGAGGAAAATGAGAGCCCTAGGAAAGGAAAAATCAAAACATCCACCACATTTTCAAGGGAGAAGTGCATTTCACACTTGGAAAACTGTATGTTATTTAGTATGACCAGCAAAGAGGCAGGAAATGTGGTCAAAGTAAGAAGGCAAGAGATAGATCAGGATTTTTATTGAAGTGTTTAAGACCGTCATTAAATGATTTTATGTAGAGATCTTAAAAAACAAACCCTGAATTCATGTGTAGGGTGGATGGGATCAGGAGAGTATTGTTCTGCTAAGGACAGATAAGCGCCTGGCCTACCACAGGCACGGCAGGGATAGCCTGAAAGATGTTCAGGAAGCAGTGACTGTCATGATGGAGGAGTTGTGGGGAAAAGAAAGATCTAACATTACGGTGAGCCTTGTCACTTGACTGAGTGGTGAGTACCTTGAATCAAGATAGGAGACAGTGGATGGGGAAAGACACTGGGTTTGGAGAAAAGCAGATAATGTAAATAGTTGGATAAATGAGTTAGAGATCCATTTGGATATCTATGGCATTTAGGAAATGGGTGAGGTCATGTCAGGGGAGGGGGGAGATAAAGCCATATAGCTGCAGTGCCTGAGTAAGATAATGCCAAGATTTGAAGGACAGGCAGAGAATAAGTTTAGGAAGGAAGCTGGGAATGCAATTGGGAAACAATTACTTTATGAAAACTCAGTTTGGATCAGAGGAGTGGTAAGTGGTGATGGTTTGCTGAAGACAAGTCTGCAAAGGAAGGAAATGTTGCCTGAGTTCTGCTTGGCCCAAGAGCATTACATGAATGACTTCACTGCTCCATAAGGAATTCCGAACAGCATTGCTCAGAAATAAAAGCATCCTTAGAAAATAGTAAGGTCCCTAAACATGTTGAACACTAGCTTGAATAGGGTTCTATTGCAACACTAGAGATGTGATTCAAGCCTCAGGTAGTCTTTCCCAGTCCTAAGATACTATGATGGAGGTGTTGTCCTTCTGGGAAGTTCTCTCTCTTTTCTCAACCGTGTTAGAAGTGGCTGAGAGATATCCCTTGGTTTCTCATCTCCCAGAATCATCCCTATAGAGCTATTCAGCCTATACTCTCTGGAGTTCATTTATACTTAACCTTTGTTATCTTTCCAGAACTTTTCAGTCTAGTTTAGTTTCAGATCTCTTCCTTTCCTAATGGTGATTATCAATATTTTCCTTCCTACCATAAGTGGGGTTTGTGAATTCTATTGCCCTTCTTATTTCCAGACTAGAAGAATAATGTTGTCTACCCTGATATGAAAACTTGCCTTATTTCCTGACCCCCAAAATTATATGGGCTTTTTGAAATCTGGATTGAAATATGACAAGACAATTATTCCAAGTTGTATCATCACTGCTCCATATGTTATAGATAACATTTTAATTTTCCTGTGATAACCAGCATTGCAAAGAACTATTTCTCAGGGAATGATTTAGTATTCAATATAAATTCATTCAATATAAATTCAACTGAGAAATACCATTATGTAATACAGTTTTGTTTATCTTGAACTAATATTCAGTCCTCATGATAAACTCACTGGAAAACCATGTGTTTTTGGTGAAGGCTTTGACTACAGTCCCCTACAAATTCTATGATGTATTGCAAGACCCTTGTAAAAATCTTGAATGTGGCAACGACACACTTTTCTTCACTTACACAAGTTATTTGCACAATCTGCACACTCTGCAGCTGCTTCATTTCTCATCATATAAATAATTTATTGGATTTTTATTGATAAGTCCAGGAGTCATTCTTTGTATTGTCAGATTCCTTAGTGAGTCATATGATAGTTTGGCTTCTGCTTCTACACTGAAAAAAATATAGGCAAAGACCATCAAGCTGTAGTAGTGCAGAGAATGGACATGCTGCTATATGCTTACAAATCCAGAGTCCCGGCCTTCCTCTGGTCCCAAGCACTTAGGTCTAATGCAGTTCTGCTTTTTGATCTTACTTATTGGCTCTGCTTAGGTCTAGGCCTATGTCTCCTTACTGTGCTACACTTGGAGGAGTCTTTCACATTCTTCTATTTATTGGTAGTTGGTTATAGCTATTGCAAAGTTCTGAAATCTTGATTATTTTAGAGTATTAGTTTAGATCTCTTTAGTCTACTTCATAGAGTGCTTCTCATTTAATACTTTATTTTAAGTAATTAAGTAAAACTGAGAACTTCTTTTTTGTGTTTAGTTAAATATTTCCCATATAATGTGATTACTTCTAACATTGGTTAATTGAAAATTAATATACAGAATATGTTTTTTTTTTGGGTCCGATCATGGGGCCTGAACTCTGGGCCTGGGCGCTGTCCCTCAGTTCTTCAGCTCAGGGCTAGCGCTCTACCACTTGAGCCACAGTACCACTTCTGGCTTTTTTCTTTTTGCTTATCTGGTGCTGAGGAATCGAACCCAGGGCCTCATGCATGCAAGGCAAGTGTTCTACCACTGAGCCACCTTCCCAGCCCCTACACAGAATATTTCTTAAGAGGTAGAATTCATACCTGTACCCATTCGTGTCCAGCCCAACATCTACTTCTCAGCACCAAACAAATATTTGGATGAATAATGGAGGGTGTGTCAGTTTGATCTATGAGAACCTAAAGTAAGTATTGTATAGGAGACTTTAGTGTCCTTATCTTTAAAAATTGAAGTTAGGACTAGAATTGGTGGCTTTCATAGCTAGGTAGCAGAGTTTACCTAAGGGTAAGGATGGAATTTAACAAATGGATTCATGTGTTGACCTCAGGAATCAGAATATTTAGAGATGAAAAAAAAAGAATATTTAGAAGTGAGATCATGGGATGCTGTATTAAAAAAATAAAAGTATCCAGTATAATACAACTACTTCACAATGAACCAGAAAACCTTTCAAGGCCTTTTCAGCAATAACTTTCTTTTGCATTTATCTAATAAACATGGAACTTTAAAAAATTAACCCTATTCACCTTTCAGGGCCTGTCGAAAAATCCAATGATGTCTTCAGTGGGGAAGTCTGCCTCTCTAAGCTCTAAGCATTTGAAGAGCACACCTGGTCCACTCATGGATGAGAGGACCTCATTGTCTCTGGTCAATGTAAATCCATTCACCCCAGAGTCCTACAGAAAACTAATCCATCATTCAAAAGGCAAGAGGAAAACCCAAGGAGATCTGTAAGCTCACAATTGTCTCTTATTTTTAAGAACTCCTATGATTAAGTGGTAAGAAGAAAGCATTCAAATATGGATAGGAATAAGAACTCTATTTGCACGGAAACAAACAATATTTATGTGGCCATCCTCACTGAGTGTCAATGCTGATTATAAGGATCTTGGCATTTTTCCTATTCTGATGTGTACTTCAGATGGCTTCTTTATAAAAGAGTTGAGTAAGCAGTAGATGTCTCACTTCAGTTAGGAGGTGGATGAGCTAAAGAATAACATTCAAAGGTCTCCTTTGCTTAATATGAAGCTAGCAGAAGGCGTGTAGTTCATATTTCAAACAGCCCATTGCTACTTCAAGTTGAGCTCTGTGACTGGCAAAGAGAAATACAGTGAAAGTACTTTAATTTCTCCATAGGTGACAGGAGATTGATAAAAGAAAGGTAGTGGTAGTTTCATAAGAGCTGTAAAAAATACGGAAAGCCAAACTTCACTATTGCATAAAAGCCACAGCATGGTGGAAATGGCTCAATTAAGGATCATGAGTGTTACTCAGAGACATTACCAGGTTTCCTTATTGCATTTTTTTTTTTTACAGAATGGAATTTTCTTTACAGAATGCCCCAAATGGAGCAGCCATTTGTGTTGCTATGAACTCAGTGAAATAAATGCAAAAATAACAATCTAAACTTTGAAAAACATTTAATGTCTCATGTTGTTTCTTAGGAGTCAGTGCTGATGTGTTTTTTAGTCTGGTAGTCTGAACAGGTTGAATAGGCTGAACATCTAGTTTACTTTGGCTTCCAAGAATCTCATTTGCTGTAGTCCTTCAACAGTCTTTGTGAATTATTATTTAAGATAGTGACTCTACCCTCTCCCTGAAGCCAACAGGCAAAGTGCTAATATGTCCTTGAGTAATATCACTTTAGAGAATACTTTTCTCCCTTATTGTGTTGCCGTTTTTTGAAGGATCAGCATGTAGTATTAAATGTAAGCCACACATAGGAATCAATTTGTTTCATGAATGAAGTGTCATCCACTTGTAATTTGCACTCCAAACTTTTCTAAAAGGGAACTCGAGCTGGCCATTCATCAATTTGAAATCTTGCTCTCAGAACTGCAACCCCCCCCCCCCCCGCCCCCATGCAAAAAGTATGTTTATCAGTAACTTCTGTTTGTAAACGAAGGACAGCTCCATCTATAGTCTACCTGTGATTGGAGTTGAAAGCCAGGTTCTAGGGGATGTAGGTATTGGAAAGGTAGTGTTATATGCCAGTGCTTTGGCGTCTGATGTCATTTCTTTAAAATTTTCTTTTAGTTTGATCATTTTTTAAAAAATTGGTGAATGTGAACAACCAGTGTAATTTCTTTGAGACTCAGTTTTATCCTTTGTGAAATAGAGAATTCAACTTTCCTGAGAAATTTATTATTATTTATTTTTAATTTTTTTTTTATTTTCTTAAGGTACAAAGGGGTTGGCATGCAACAGAGCAGTTTAGGAATACAATGCCTCTTGGTCAATGTCACACCTGCCAACATTCTTCCCCACCCACTCCTTCCCCCAGTTTTCTTCATTTTTAAGTTATGCATTGCATTTTTTGTCCACTTAACAATTTGTGTATACAATGCATCTCAATCTGTGTCATCCCTTCAACCATCTTCCCCCACTTGACTCACCCCTTCCCTTTTTTTCTCAGTTCTGTTCAATGTATGATGCATTCTTGCCTGCATTCTGCTCCCTTCTCCCATTCATTCTTCTACCCCTTTCCCCTTGTGCCCTTACCATCATCTTGCAAGTACTCATTTCGTGGTACTTATTTTGTTGGGTGTTGACTTTCTAAAGAATACTCTCCATAGAGTCTGTTATACTTTACTTAATTCATTTATAACCACTTGGATATCACCCAGTGTGTTCACTTACAGGTTTATAGGCACATTCTACCTCTCACAAATGAGGGGAACCATGCAACATGTGTTTCTCTGGGTCTGGCTTACTTCATTAATCTAATTATTAACTAATGTAACCTCGAGTGAGTTAGCCATTTTGGGCCTTGGAGATGTTAATGCTCATTTACAGTTTCAGGTATGTTCTGTGTTCTCCCTGGTTTCCAGTTCTCAGCATGTGGTGATCTACATTCTGAAACCCCACTCTTCCCCCAGTCAGCCCCACTGAACCTTTGCTTTCACAGGCTCTCTACTTATAGAACTGGCTGCTGTCCTTGATATTAAGTGATGCCTTGTTCCTATCCTGTCCTAGGTTCTTGTGTTGAAATCTCCTGGCCATCTCTTCCCCTAAAGATAAATTCAAGGCAGGGGGGTGGGGGTGGCTATTGCTTTAGGTATTCTTGAAACCACAGAACCTAGCACAGTATCAAGATGTAAGTGTATCATATACTGACAAAACTTGATTTTTATGTACTTTCTAGTGAGGGAACCAGTGCAGAGGAAGGCAAAGAAGAACAAGGACGGCCTGCCAAGGTGAGTGCAGTCTTTTCACCAAATAGCACAACTTACCCATTTCATCCTATTCTCTCTCCCATCTCTCTCATCTTCTCAGTTCCCCTCATTCCATCCCCTCTCTCTCCTACTTACACACTCCTCTCTCTTACTTTTCCCAGCCTCTCTAGGCCCCTATCCCTATCTCTCTTCTACCTCCTACTCTCCTCACTACATAGATACACTTTTTGTTGTTGTTCTTAGTCGTGGTGCTTGAGCTCTGGGCCTGGGCGCTGTCCCTCAGCTCTTCAGCTCAAGGCAAACATTCCACCACTTGAGCCACTGCTCTACTTCTGGTTTTCTGGTGGTTAATTTGAGATAAGAGTTTCATGGACTACTTTCCGGCCTGGGCTGGCTTTGAACCACAATCCTCAGATCTCAGTGTCCCTGAATAGCTAGGATTACAGGCGTGAGCCACCAGCGCCCAGCCACAGACACACTTTTAGTGCATTACAGCTAAACTCATCTTGACTCCAGTCAGGCAGGCTCTATATTCTTAATTGTTCTTTTGACAGGCAATACCTGTTATATATTGCTAAAGTATTATCTTTGGCTGTTTTAGAATGAAAGGTTTCTGCTTCTGTTTTTACCTGAGAAAATGGCTATACTCATAGGCTAAAGAAATTTTGGGGGAAAATCAAGATACTTTTGGTTCCCAGATGGAGAAATTGAATGGTGAAAAATGTTATAGATCTAGAGATTTATATGTCAAATAATTAGCCCCTAAGGATGTCCACACACACACACACACACACACACACACACACACACACACACACACACATATATTCATTGTATAATACTCACAGTCTTTAATTTGGTAAACCTCCTCTGTCAATCCAGCCTAACAAAATAATAATGTAAGTATTGATCCCAGTATTATTTTATCTTAATTGTGGTAGCAAAAACAATGAGGCATGTTGCTACATGACCAATAATAGAGGCATAGTTAATTATAGTTTTAAGTCATTAGATTATTAAATTGTCACTAAGATTTTACAATGTATGAAAATATGTCTCTGTTCAATATGCAGTATATAAAGAGGCAAATTTTTATATATTGAATGATTACAACAATGTATTATATATTGGTCATAAAATTAGATGTGCAATAACTGCCATCATTTCAATGTCTTTGAATGATAGAAACTTAATGTGTTGTTTTCCCAATAATTCCTGAAGTTTTGGAGCAACTTGCTCTTACTTGTATAAACAAGTTAGTATTTTTAAACATCAGCACTTGACTCTCAACCATTGGAGAGAAAAAAGTGCTGGGCACGGTTTCTCATGCAAATGCATCTGATTCATGCCTTTGGGACTTTAGGCCTGTAACTTATTACTGTCTCACTTTGCATGTTGTCTCCTGGCTTCAGATAGAAATGCCAAAAATATTCATGAAACATTTAACATATGCCACCTATGGCATTTGGATCTCATAAGGGGAAAAGTATCTATGGGAAAATCACCGCCCAAGAAGAACTCACATCTTTGAAATTTCAAAGCAACCTGTGTATACACACAAATCTATAGGATGTGTGTATTTGTATGTACCTGTGTGGGGTGTGTATATGTATACATATATATCTATACACATATGGATATTTAAAATATCTATGGAGGGTCAACAAAAATATTTTTTGTAGGAAGTGAGTTGGGTAGGAGAGATGCGGATGAAGATGATCCTAGGCAAAAGAATGTGATTGTCAGTGCTTTGAAGGCAGAACAGGTCACCTGGGAGAGGGAGGTGGGCTTTCAGTCTCTTCTCATAAGAACAATTGGGTGTCAGATTCTGTGGTCTCCTCTTGTATAACTAATTCTTACTACTACTGCTAATAGCTGTAGAAAAATCCGAGTGCAGGGGGGAGAGAGAGAGAGAGAGAGAACGCACTTGATATTGGTTAGGTGTAGTTGATGGACACAGATTAGACTTAGATGTTAAAATGAGCTGGTAAATCTGACTTTAGGAGGTCCCAGGCCCTGAGGTCATGTCGGGATCCAGTGTGGCCACACCTTTCCCCCACCTGGCCACACCTCTTCCTGTCCCTGGCCTAGATAAGTCCTGGCCCTGGGGTAGGTCGCCTCTTTTCCTTTTCAGCCATCCATCTCCATCATGCACCGCAGGGGCAGCAGTTCAGAAAACTTTTCCTGCCTGAAAAAAATAATGAGCTGGTAAAAATGAAGTTTTTAACCTGATAACATTAGAAGATAAAAATCCCTGCCAACTGGAATACATTGGGAAAAGATAACTTTGGAAGATAAATTATCTTGGATTTAGATTCACATAAAGTTATGGAGAGTTTACTAAAACCTTCCCATTTTGTTGGGCATTATACTATGAGATATATTTCATATGTTATATGTAAAACAATATTGTATATTCTCATTTACTAGTCAAAAGTACCATGAATTAACATTTTCATGTTATAGATGGGAAAAGTGCTTGAGGTTATTTCCTAGCTGGCAAGTGAGCGATGTAACTAGTTTGCCGGTAGGGGGCGTGCTCATTATACAGGATAGGCACAATCAGGACTAATCCTTTGGATGGTTTTGCATTCAAATTGACTTTTTGGGGGTGAGGGTGAGGGGAGAAATCACAACAAGAATTTGTTGAATTTGAGATGAAAATATTAGCATCTGGACTTTGTGAAAGGTCAAGAAAGATGTCAAAGGAAGCATTTTTTTTAAAAACATGCTCTACCCTATTTCCTGGGATTCCTTCAGTTTAAGATAATAGAGCACTGGATTTGAGATGTTCCCTGTTGAAACACACAGAAAAGAATAATATGACTAGATATCATACATCTAAGGATATGTGAAAGGTCAGTGAGAATTGTATGGAACATTACAATAGAAGATGAAGTCAACGCTTGGGGAGCAATTGCTACTGTTTATTTCAACCCAAATAGAATCCATTGCCTTCACCTCAGGAGTACTTTTGAAAAACCAAGAGCAATTTATAAATGTAATATGGTTACCTTCTATTGCTCACAAGATGTTTAAGAAGAATTATTCTAATTCTCTTTTATTAAAATATTTCAGAAAAGTCTGCTAGAAGAAATTAACATGGCTTCCCGATATGCAAAGGAATTCTTGGAGGTAGAAAAACTTGGGGTTGGAGCATTTGGTACAGTCTACAAATGCATCAAGAGGCTGGATGGGTGTGTTTATGCAATCAAGTACTCGACAAGAACCTTTTCAGGCCTATCAAATGAGTGAGTGCCTTTGACATGTACTAGAAGCACAAATGTGGATTCAGAGAGCTGTTTCTTAACCAAATATTTTAAATGGTAGCATTTGTTATCGTTAAAAATATGCCACTTGTTATTTTGTTAATGATCATTTCAGGTCATGTTATGGATCTCTTGGCTTTTACTTTCTGCTACTGGGACTCCTGTTTTCTTTTTCTTTTCTTTTCTTTCTTTTTTTTTTTTTGTCAGTCATGGGGCTTGAACTCTGGGCTTTAGCACTGTCCCTCAGCTCTTTAGCTCAAGGCTAGTGCTTTACCACTTGAGCCACAGTGCTACTTCTGGTTTTCTGGTGGTCTATTGGAGATAGTCTCATGGCCTTTCCTGCCTGGGCTGGCTTTGAACTGTAATCCTCAGATCTCAGCCTCCTGAGTAGCTAGGATTACAGGAGTGAGCCACTGACAACTAGCTTTTGCTTTGTTGTTGCTGAATGAATAGATTTATGGAATGATCTTCCATTGATCTTTTTAGTTTGTTAGAAATACTGCCAAGAAGGGAGTTACTGCTAACTCATTGGTTTCTCTCTAACTTGCATGAATAGTGTATTCAATAGTGAAGTTTCAGAGACTGTAAGCAAGGAAAAATTATTAAAGTTTGTAGTTCAACCCTAGAACTAATTGTTAAAAATTTCTCCTTTTGATCATTAAGAAAACAAACATTTTTATTCAGCCAATGCTTTCTAGGAACTTGGTGAATACTTATTATGTTGAATTTAAAATTACAAGCTTCCATTTTTACTCTGAAACTCATCACAGACAACAGTTTGCTTTTCTTGTATTGGAATTTCCTACTGTATAATGAATCTCTTTCCCAAAAATATCTCAGCCACTGAGACTATATTGAATTCTCTGAGTTTTATATTGATTCCAATGACTAGCTTTTATAGAAAAGTAGAGGCCGATGACATTACAATCAAGTGTCTGATGGCCTTCTTGTTAAGCCCATTAAAATTTATATAGTGTAATACAGTGAAATTAAAACCTGAAGCATGTTAGCTATTGAGATAGTAAGCACCCTAAATTCAATGAGTTTGGTACCAGGCTGATCAAGGTTCTGCTTTTGGGTTTACCGTAATTTTGACTTTGGGCAAGTCATATAATTTCTGAAGACTTCATACTTTTCATGGTCTCATGTAGCTGTGATGATTGAATAAAATACAGCAGTTAGTACCTGATAAATGTTCTAGAGCTATGTATCACATGTTTTAATGTACCTTATCTTGATCAATGCATGTGCATCTGTTAGGAATTTGGATTTGCATGAAGTGTATGCTCATGCGGTGCTTGGACATCACCCACATGTGGTACGTTACTATTCTTCCTGGACAGAAGATGATCATGTGATCATCCAGAATGAATACTGCAATGGTAAGCATGTGAATTAATATCTATACAGAGAGAACTGAACTGTATAAATCTCCAGAAATTAATTCTACTTCCTTATGATTTATGCCAATGGTATCAGAGGTGTATTTAACATTTCTGTGCCATAATCTTGCTCAGAAGCAGAGTATCTGGGGGCATGGTTGAGTTGAACAGCAATTTTCAGGCACCTGTATTTCTTCCAAAGGTGTTGTGTCATGAGAGCATAGAAGCCAACTTCCTTTACACTTCACACTGAGATTTAAAAAAATGTTTTACTCTAGTAGGTTGAATGTGTAAATATTACTCTTACTATTCACTTGGTATTGTGAAAGAAACAAGCCATACCATTGTGGGAGATATTGAGGGGCCACATTGCTTTTTATATTTTCCTCTCTTTAATTAGTTATACAAAGGAGTTGCCATTCAATACATATGAATAGAATGTGTCTTGATCAGTGCCAACCTTGTCAACATTCTTACCCATTCCTCCCAATCTACCCCTTCCCTCACTTTTCCTAATTTTGTAAAATATGCATTAGATTTTTGGTTGTATTCTCCCCATCCTTCTTTTCTTTGCTCACACATCTGAAGTTTCTTTATCCCGATGAGGTTTGTGATATACACAATTACTGGTAATTTTCAAGTCAATTACTCCTACCTTTCTGACCTTTCAGCATTAGCATTCTCATCAGAACATGGGATGGGCACTGGGACCAAACTTGGTAATTTCAGAGATACTCTCCTCCATCCTTCAGGACCATACATACATAGTAGCTAGGAACAGGTGTGTGTGTGTGTGTGTGTGTGTGTGTGTGTGTGTGTGTGTGCACGTGTGTGCGTGCACGTCTTAGATCATAAAGAGCAGTCCTTGGACTTAACATCTAATTGATGGCTAAGCAGTTGACATGATAGCAATTGTGTGGCATTAGCTTTGGAAATGCTTTTCATCAAAATGTTCTGTGGTAAAGCAGAAAAGTGCTTCAAATTGAATAAAAGCTATCAATTATTATCAGGGGTAGCAAGTAATATTTTGGCCATAGTAACATTTGAACACCACATTTCTCTCCCCCATCAGCCCCCATCTTCAACTGAGCTGCTTTCTTCCAGTAATTTCAGTAACCACCAGATGGCCCTGAATATATAAATCTAGCCTGACATTTAAGAACAGTGAGTTGTGTTAAAGAGTTATTATTGTATGAATGAGTAAGTGAACAAGTAAGAAGTAAATAATACTGAAATGCTAGAACATGGACATATGGCCCAAAGAATGATTGGGTATTTCTCCAATGTCTCCTTATAGACATATTTCCTCTTAACCTTAGCTGTGGTCTTTGTAGAGCTCCTCTCTTGTAAGCTCACCACAAATCCCTTTTTCTAACAGTCGGTATGGGTAAAGAATAGATCCTTTTCTTATGCTTACGATTGAGCATTTGACTCTTCCTAGTCTCCTTCCTAATTCCCTTTTATGGAAATCTAAGATTTCTTGTCCTTTCCTTATCCGCTTCCCCTTTCTACCAAGGAAGCATGGTTTTATTTTCATGACTTTTAGCTGTTAACAAAGACAATATTAAATAACAAAAATCAACGAAACCAATATTCAACCTGATTCGAGGGTAATATAAGCATTTCAACATTTTCAAAAAGAAGAGATGAAGTGATTGTTTCCATGAATTATCATGAACTTAATGATCATTAATCCATCTCAATGTTGAAGGACCTTCTTTCACATTCTATGGGGTTATTCTCTGTTGTTTTTTTTTCCCCCAGGTGGAAGCTTACAAGCTGCTATATCTAAAAACACTAAGGCTGGCAATCATTTCCAAGAACCCAAACTCAAGGACATGCTTCTTCAGATTTCCTTGGGCCTCAAGTACATCCACAATGCTGGCATGGTACACATGGACATCAAACCTAGTCAGTATGGTCTCTCCTGTTCTTCCTGCAATATACTGTCTTTTTCACACCATCATCTGTGCCCATGTGTCTATCAAGTGTCAAAGATAGGCTGGGTGTAGTGATGTATATTTGTAATCCCAGCTACTCAAGAGACTGAGATTGGGAGAATCTGGGAGATCTCGTTTCAAGGCTAGCCTGGGGGAAAAAAGTTAGTGAGATGGCCATCTTGATCAATCAGCAGGGTGTGATGCTGTGCCTGCATGTGCAGCTATGGTAGGAGGCCATTGGTAAGAGGACTGCAGTCCAGGCTGGCCCAGGCACCATTAGGAGAACCTACTTGAAAACCAGTTAATTTTTTTGAAGGGTTGAGGGTTTAGCCCAAATGGGAAAGAACTTGAGTAACACCAGAATGAAAACAAATATCAAAGATTGTATTTGCTGGCAGAATCCCTTTCTCCCATTTGTCTTCCCTAAAATATCTTTAGCCATTTCCCACTTGGGTCCAGTGGACAGAAAGGAGAAACACTCCCATACAAGGAATAACATATCCAAATACTTACTTTACTACATAGATATGTGATAGTATATTGTTTATTTTCTCATTGTATTTACAACTAGTATACAGGGTTCCTTTGTGTGTGTGTGTGTGTGTGTGTGTGTGTGTGTGTGTGTGTGTGTGTGTGTGTGTGTGTGTGTGGTGTACGTGTATGTGTGTGTGCATGTGCACCTATCCTGAGGCTTAAACTCTGAGCCTGGGCACTGTCCTTAAGCTTTTTTTGCTCAAGGTTATTGCTCTACCATCGGAGCCACAGCTCCGTTTCCTCTTTTGGGTGGTTAATTGGAGAGAAGTTTCACAGACTTCCCTGTCCAGGCTGGCTTCCGACTGCAATCCTTAGATCTCAGCCTCCTGAGTAGCTAGGCATGAGCCATCAGCAGCCTAGCAGTACTATATATTTCAATTCACTGATCCAAGGGAGTGTGAGAGTGACTCTATCACTCTTTTATGTGAAATGTATGGACAAAATGTTAGTGTTTTGTGGATTTTATTTGAGATAGTAGCCTGCCACCAGCCTCTTTTGAGGGTGAGGGATTCATGAGGTCAGCATTGCCTGAACAGGTGCTACCAATCACTGCCGGTCTGGTGTGAGAAGAGAGATTTCATGGGAAAAGTAAAGATTGGAGTCTTGCAACAACCACCCAGGCAAAAGGAGGGAGCTCACGGTCCTCCTGTCTCAGCCTCCTAAGTGCTTGTGATGACAGACACGGGGTGTGTGGGGGGGTGTATTTTAGCGTCCTGAAATATCAAATCCAGAGTGTCATGTCAGATCTTTGAGGGATCATTACAGTTGTCTACTCTCTCTGTTTTTCAGGCAACATTTTCATTTGTCATAATATGCAAAGTGACTCTCCTGAAGGCCCAGAAGAAGCTGAAAATGAAGCTGATTGGTTTTTATCTGCCAGTGTGATATATAAAATTGGTGAGTCTGCCTTCTATGCCTACATGTATTCCATTATACTATAAAACCTATGCTGAGGATGCCATTTGGTCCAGTTCTAATAACAACATTGCTTAGGTTCTCTCTTCCCCCATAGTAGAGTTTGAAATGAGGCCTATACACTTGCTACATAGGTACTCTACTGCTTGAGTCATGCTTCTAGCCAATTTTTACTCGAGTTATTTTTGAGATAGGGTCTTGCCTTTTACCTGGGTTGGCTTAGATTCCAGTCCTGCCAGTTATGCTTCCATATATCTGGGATTACAGGGGCATACCACTGGGCCCAGCATTTTCTATCACGATGAGGGTCCCATGAACATTTTTGCCTGAGCTGGCTTAGAACCATAGTCCTTCCAATCTCTACCCCCAAACAGTAGAATTACAAGTGTGATCCACCAGTGCCTGCACATTATCCCCTCTTCATTAGTATATATTAATGGTAAATAGGAGTTTGTAATATTAATATACATGCATATCATGTACTCTGACTAAATTCACCCCTTCTATTACTATTTCTCTTCCCTCCTCCCTTTAAAAAGCAATATTTAACAAGTTTCTTCATTCTAATTTTGAAGATGTATATGGAGTTACCAAAATGCATACTTTTCTTTTCTTTTTTTTTTTTGGTTGTGGGGTTGAACTCAGAGCTTGAACACTGACCTTGAGCTCTTTTGCTCAAGGCTAATGCTCTACCAGAGCCACAGCTCCACATCTGTTTTTTTGGTGGCAAATTGGGGATAAGAGTCTTATAGACTTTCCTGCCCAAGCTAAGCATGGAACCATGATCCTCAGATCTCAGTCTCCTGAGTAGCTAGGTTTACAAGTGTGAGCCACAGGAGCCTGGCTGAAACATGTAAAGAGCTCTATTTTGTTTTCTTTCTTTCTTTCTTTTTCTTTCTTTTTTTTTTTTTTTAGGTGATCTGGGTCATGTGACATCCATAAGTAAACCAAAAGTGGAAGAAGGAGACATTTGCTTCCTGGCTAATGAGATTTTACAAGAGGTATAGATGGGAGAAATGGAGAGCATTGGATTTTAGTTATTTATGTTTTGGATTATGAACTCAGGGCCTCATGCTTGAAGCAAGTGACTTACCATTTAAGCCTTGTCTTCAGTCCCTTTTGTTTTACTTTATTTTCCTGATAAGGTCTTGCACTTTGCCCTGGCTTGTTCTTTGAGACAGATTTCCTTAATTTTTGCCCAGGCTAGCTTTGGACCTGCAGTCTTCCTATCTTTACCTTTCAAGTAGTTAGGATTACAGAAATATGTCACCACAGTTGGCCTTATTTTATATATATATATTATACATTCTATGCTTTTACCTTTTTAAATGAACTTTTTGAGACACGATCTGTATTGCCCAAGTTGGCCTTGACCTGATATAAGAGGCCCCAGACTCCTAACTAGCTGAGACTACAGGCCCTTTGAATTGATTGACTCTCAAATGAAGGCTTGAAACAACAAAGAAAATAATATATATATATATATTATAATTTAAATATGTAGTATCTCCTTTTCCATTTGGATTGGAAACCAAAGATAAGAAAGAAACATCCAAAAGAAATGGCAAAGCTGACTAGGTCAAAGATCAATCAGTATTCCTAGTGTTGTTTCTGGAAGTCCTACACTGTTTCTAGTTCTTCGAGAATTTGTAGTCTCACAGATCTGAGTATTAGAAGGGAGGCCCTACCTTTCTCGTATCAGCAGAATACCTCTTTATCATGCCATAATCCTCATAGCATTATCAGCTCTCCACTAAAATGACCTTGGGTCACTGACTATTTTCTAAGATACCTGTTGAATTTGAACTAGAAAGGCCACAACTTCTCCCTGGGTGATCATCAGGAAAAAAAAAAAAAACACTCAAAAAATGAGCCTTTTCTTTCCACAATCAGTTAATTTATGTGCCAAACTTCCTTGAGTGTGACAACAAAATGGTGCTGGGTTTGTCTTGGGCTCTTTAGGGCACTGTGGTGTTAATAAAATGGGTTTATCTTCCCTCTGTCTTAGAAATAAGCCACCAACTATGGTAAATGTCATTTTACTATAACTTAGAGCTTTTAGGTGCCCAAACGTGTATCTACTAAGAGTGTGTATTTCAATCTTAATTCTCTCCACTGTCAAACTAACTGGCCTTCCTATCTTCTGTTTTGCAGAATTATCGCTACCTCCCCAAAGCGGACATATTTTCCTTGGGATTGACCATGGCAGTAGCTGCGGGAGCGCAGTCACTACCTGCCAATGGTGAAGAGTGGCACCACATCCGCAGGGGCAACCTTCCCAGCATCCCTCAGGAGCTCTCGGAAGACTTCTACCAGTTGCTCAAGGTGACATCTCTCGTGAGAGAAGACATGATGAAATGCCTTTTTCTATAGTGTAAGGGCAAGTGGTGGTTGGCAGGAAAATGGAAAATTTGGTATTGCCATGAACAGAGAAAGAGGGATCTTCCAAATTCAGGAAAGATACAGGGCAGGCTGAAAACTTTATAAGGCAACAGATGTGATATTTACTGTCAAGGATTCTGTGGTCAACATTTTCTCTTGTTCTTCTTTATAATCTTGTTAAAAACGACACCTCATTTTTTTTTTTTTTTTGGATACCTCATTCTTGGAGAAGAAACCAGGAGAGGAAGCAGGGGAAGCTGAGGATTCAGAGCAGCCATTTGACTGCCGTATTCAGTTAATATTTGGTTAACTCTAAAACTAAACCTGGCCACTTCTCTCTTGCTTGATATTAATAGAAGATTATTCCAAACATATTTTGATAAGTAGGAAGCTACTTATTGATAATTGACACACACACACAGTTGACACACATGCACTTAGGTATTTCTACCATATTGAAATCATCTTAGGTTAGAGGTTGCAGATTTATCACATGAAAAATGCTTTAGTCATACTGCCATCATGGATTTTTGGGCAGTTCTGGAGATTGAATTAGTGTTTCATGTGTATTAGGCAAATACTCTACCACTTACGCTAGATACCCAGCTCTCTTCTTTGTATTTTGCTTAGGCGACTTCCTCACTAGTTTTTCACGGGGACTAGCCTCAACCTGGAGATCCTCCTGTCTCTAAAGTTTGAGTAGCTGGGATCATAGCCATAATAGTAAAGGAGGGGAGGGAATACAAGGGAATATCACTGGTAAAGAAAGCTCAGGTATCAACATCACCAGTGGTAACCATCATGTAAGAAAACCTTAGGTAAGGTAAGTAGAGACTGACATACCTTTAGAAACCATTATGCCTAATTTCATAGTGGGCCTCTATTAAGTAACAAGGGAGTATGATATAGCAGAACATAAAAAGATCTAATACTTGGGTGTTGGCTTTGGAGATTCCACTAAGACAAGTTACTTTAAAAAATATTAGTTGTACAACTACTTGTACAACCAGCTATTTAGTGTTGATTGTAATTGATGTATGGTTACTTATAGTTACAATTCCATAAGTCAGGTTATGAGTACAATGCACCTTGACCACTGTCACCCCTCCTATCATTCTTCCCCATGCCCCTCCCCATATCTTGCCTCAAGTTACATAGTGTCCTTTGAATATAATGACTGAATTTGCTTACTCTCCATTTTTTATTTCTCTTTTGTCCAAGACTGGGACTCCAACTGGGTATCTGATACTTATCCCCTACCACCTGAGTGATGCCTCCAACCCCGTCACCCTCCATTTGTGTGCCCACTCATGTCCCTAAGGAGTATCTCTTTTTCTACCTTAAAATCAAAGCATTCGACTAGTTTTTAAATCATCCAGTTCTTAAATATGACGCTTAAAGACAAGTCAAAGGTACCAATAACTGATGTTATGAGACATGGCCTATCTTTCTCTCTGAAGTGGAGCAAGCTTCCATTTCTTCTCCTGTTTGCACAAAGGAGAAGCAGTTGGCTTCAGTGGGGGAGCTTTTCCCAGTAGGGAAGCTTCTGTTTCCTTCCTTTTGGTCCTGTGTCATTAGAACATGATCCACCCTGACCCGGAGGAGAGACCTTCTGCAGCAGCTCTGGCCAGGAGTCAAGTTCTCCGGCCCTCCCTGGGGACCACAGAGGAGCTCCAGCAGCAGCTGGACTTGGAAAAGTCCAAGATAGCCGCACTGGAAAGGTAGATTTGGGGTGTTGGAATCAAGGAAGAATCTATGTCAAATCCTTCTCAATGTTATGATGGTCTGGTGTGTCTCCATGGATTTAAATTTGTGTGTATTCTATATTATACTACACAGTCCTAGCCATAGGACACTGGTAGCGGCGTGAGATTCTTTGTAGCATGGGACTGGGCAGTTCTTGGACTAGGGAGTTTAAGAGAAAATTCCAAGTAATATAAAGATAGTGATAGCAAGGGGGTATGGAATGCAAGGGAATACCACTGGTAGAGAAAACTCAGGCATCAACAGCACCAGTGTTAACATTCCTGTAAGAGAACCGTAGGTAAGATAAGTAGAGACTGACCTACATTTAGAAAGCATGGGTAAGTTTCATGGACAGGTGGGAAGACATCCTGTCCTGATACAGGCTTAAGTGAAGAGATGTTTTGCTGAGGAAAATCTCCTCTGGGCCTGTTGTAAGCACAAGTGAACTAACATAAATGTAGCATGTTGTCTAACACAGGACCCACACTTAGGCACTTAGAAACTACAAACTAAAGATCAAAGAAATATGATCTCTTATTCAAGTAGGCCTATATTCCTGTATGTATTCATTCACTAATTCATTTCTTCATTGAACAAGTGAGAATTAGTAAGGTGGGGGTAAAGTTGAGGGATAGTTGGCACAGTGCTGGATCAATAGTGTTGTGCAGGAATGGTTACTCTGTGTACAGTTACAAATAAATAAGGAAACGAAAGATGGCTGTTTCCTGAAGGAAGCTTAGAAATCTAACTTCTTTTGAATAAAAAAAAGACATCTGAGAAGTAAAACTTTGAAAGTTTGTAAAATCCCAAGCTGGCAGGTGCTGGTTGTCATGTCTGTAATCTTACTGCTCAGGAGATTGAGATATGAGGATTGAGGTTCAAAGTCAGACTGGGCAGGAAAGCCCATGAGATTCTTACATTAGCTACATAAAAAGTTGGAAGTGGGAGCTTTGGCTCATATGGTAGAGCACTAGCTTTGAGCACAAAGGCTCAGACCCTGAGTTCAAGCCCTAGTACGAGCCAAGAAAAACAAAGGAAGAAAGAAAAGAAAAGAAAGAAAGGAAGACAGAAGGAAAGAACAACAGAGAGCAGAAAGAAAAGTTCCAAACTGTTTTTTAAAATTATAAGTTATGTAGACTCTCAACCTCTAGTAAACTATTTACATTACATTGCTCCAGATAATAAAGTACAAAGAACTTTATGCAGTTATGTTTTTCAAAAGAATATAAGTGCCTGTTAAAGTGTGGTGTGTATGATACATGAAGCTAGCTCTGGAGGAATAAATAACCATCATCAACCAGTAATGGACACCTTTAGGGACAAGACAGATGGTATCTTAAAACCATTTAAACCAGGGGTTGGTAAATTTATCTTGAAAATGGTTATAAATATTCTATGTTTTGGAGGCCTATAATCTTTCTGTAATGACTGAACTCTGCCATTGGCAAAAACAACCAGTGGTTTTATATTTGTATATATATGACAATACATATAATATATATTAACACCACATATAACATATTCAATAAGTGGTTCAGCAAGACTTTATTTAAAAAACAGGTTAAGCTAGGGAATGGCTGCTTATGCCTGTAATCCTAGCTACTTAGGAGGCTGAGATCTGGAGGAAGAAATAAGAGGCCAGCTGGGGCAGAGAAGTCTGCTAGACTAACTCCAAAATAACCAGCCAAGAGTAGGGCTAGTGATGTAGCTCAAATGGAGGAGAATAAGACAAGTGAGCTCAGGCCCCTTAGTTCAAACCCCAGCACCACCCAAAACAAATCAGGGAGTGGGCCAGATTCTACCCAGATGCTATAGCTTTTCGACCCCATGGTTTTGATGTACACCCTGAAGACTTGTTCACTTTTAATTGTGAAGATTGTGTGCACCTGTAAGTAGGATCTGGAAAACAGAATCTACCATATGCGGTGGGTGTCAACCTTTTCTAAAAAGTAAAATTTATTAGCATCAATTGCATAAGTTTATTTATTGTGATGTCTACAACCAACCTGTATAAAATGTACCCCATTATGATACTCTTTCTTAATGACTGAATTGTGTCTTTTGTATATAGTTCAGGCCTGTATCTGTAAGACTCAAAAGATAAATCACTACTAGTTGTGATCATAAGCATTATTTCTAACTGGGGAAAGAGTAATGTGTGCTTTCCCTCTTTCATTGCAGGGAACTGAGAGAAGCCCAGCAAGCCCAGTCCTCCCAAGGAGACATCCCCCAGGGCCACCCCAGTGATTCTGAGGCCCACCCAGGACCAAGGAGCACAAAGCGTCTGGTTGGAGGAAAGAGTAGGAAGTCTTCAAGCTTTACCTGTGGGAAATCTTCCCCATAGAACTCACTTGCTATCATTCAGCCTTTTGCTATACAGCATTCACAAAGATACTGATCTCTTACCAAATGGAAAAATGAACCAACTGGAATGAGCTAAGATTTCAAAAGCCATCCTAATTTATCACCTACAGGTCATAAAGTTACCAAAGCGGCTTGTCCCAGGTAGCCATTTCTCTTCCATATTGTTGTAATGCCACCTGCTGACAATTAGAGTCTCAGGTTTAACTGATGAGCAAACATGATTAAAAGAATGAAAGAACGTTTGGCATGGTTTATAGTTTAGTTAGGGGCTATTGTTTATTTCTCCCCCAAAGAGCCCAGGAGCTCTATTAATAGAAGGGAATAAAATTTGGTTTTGAGTTGAATCACAGCTTCCAAGAAATGGTGCCTGGATTTCAACAGTGTTTCCTAGGTGATATAATGCTATTCCTAAAAGAATTACCCCATGAGCAAGTGGTTTTCCAAATGTACTTTCTGGAGAGATAAAAGCTTTTTAAATTTGATACTGTAATTATTAAATAAATGGCTCCATTATTGTGAGGTAGTTAGCAAAAAGACTGCAGCAGCATAGGCATTCCTAAGATGACTACTAAGGTATAAAATGAAAGCTCTGAGGTAGAGGGTTGGAGGGAAGTTGGAATCTTTGGCTTCATTTGTCTTAACCCACTTGTGGCTGGTTCAGATTGCCTTTGATTTTCTGGATGTCACCAATTTTTCTTGGTTTTAGCAGAATTTGGCCTTGTTTCCTGTGATGTTAGCATATTTTACCCAAACTGTTTTCTGTCTATATTTTAAAAGGAACAGAATATTTATAAATAAAGTTTTTTTTAAATCTCCCCCAAAGTCAGTTATGGGTAAAACACTCGTCTCTAATATTCAACAAAACACGAGAAATTTATGTTGGAAAATGTTCTCGGAGTGGGTAAGAGAATTCAGTAGGTTATTTGTGATAGGTCTTAGTGGTAATACCCAAGTTCACAGGTACAAAAGCTAGTAATGGTCAGGTGTAACTACAAAATGATATTGGCCATAAAGGTATTTGGTAACTTCTCTTTGAGTAATTCTAATGATGATAACCTGGTAATGATTAATGGCTTTTCTGCTGCCTGATTTTCTTCTTTTCTAGAAGCTAAGTTTTTTTTGGGTTTAATTAATAATGCTCATTCCATTTTCTGTTGACCTTGGATTAACAATATTTCCCATGCAATTAAATGCATTCAGTTCTTTCTGTATACAACTGTCATTCTAATTTACCATTCTTTTATTTGTTGTTGTTGTTTTTTGTTTTGTTTTGTGGGCGCTCATACTGAGTCTTGAATTTAGGGCTTGGGTACTGTCCTTTAGCTTTTACACTCAAGGCTGGAACTCCATCATGTGAGCCATAGCTCCACTTCTGGCTCTTTGGTAGTTAACTGAAGATAAGACACTGAAGATAGCCATTCCTGCCCTGGCTGGCTTTGAACTTCTATCCTCAGATCTCAGCCTCGTGAGTAGCTAGGTTTACAGTCATGAGCTGCTGATGCCTGATTATTCGGGTTTCACAATGGGATTGGTTGATCTTTTGTCACTTTCCTGTGAACATCATCCCCTTATCTTTTACACTATACAGTGAAAGCTTCATCCTGCCTTGTGGTTTAGAAGCAGGCACATTATTTCGTGTATGCCATATACAGGCCAGAAACTTTTTGGTTAAATGTGTCTTCTCAGTTGTACAACACTAGAGGAGCTATATCCCTTTCTCCATTGTGTTGCTCAGAGACCAGCTTCACAGCTGAACGGACTGGTGCCAGATTCCTGGGGCCTCTCCCCTCTCTCCACTTGGTGACATGGTAGCAGTACATCATCCAAATAACCTATAGTTGCACAGATAGTATGGAGTATGAGAGAAACTGAGTCTCATTGGGATTGATTTATCACTTCTGCTTCACTTGGACATTTCCCCTCCATTGAATAAGGTCTGCTTTTGTAACTCAACAACCACAATTAGGTCATCAGGCTGGCGACATTAAAAGAACTGAATTTAAGTACTTTGTGAAGTAAATATATTGCTTTTCTATAGATGTCCTCATGATTATAAAGTATTGCTAAACATATTTTGAACTACTTTAAAATATGTTCTAGTAATCAGTTTAGGTAGAAGTGCTGTAATTTTCCAGCAGCTGTTATAAGACTTAAGGAAAATTGATTTAAAAGCAAAGTGAGAACTTGATTAAAATTTTTCTTGTGTTTCCTAAACACAAACCTGGACCTTGACCCTCAATTGCCAAGACATAATGGTGAGAAATAATATTGTGTTTGGTTGGTCTAAGTTCTAATACGTGAATGCACTCAAGGGCACATTTATCTCAAGCCATACAAAGATAAGTGCTGAAAGGCAAATATCAACTTTCTAGTCTGAACAGGCCCTTTTAATCTCTAGAAGAGCTGTAATTTCAACCGGAATAACATAAAAATTGTCAGGCTGATACGTTTAAGAAAATAGCCATCATAACTACTAAGTATTGCTAAAATTGCTTTTGAACCACCTTAAAATAACACCAGTTTAGGGAAAAGTACTGTAATTTCTCAAGTTATTATGAGACTTTAGGAAAACTGATTCAAAAGCAAAGTGAGTACTTGATTAAAATTTCCAAAATGCTTTTACAGTAACAAAAGTGTCCAAAGCTCTTTATGATAAAGCATTGCTACCACCAGTCTCTGCCACTGGATGTCCATACCTGAAACTTTTGATTTAGGGGGAAATAAAGGCAGGGCCCAGGGTAACTTTGCATCTCTGAGTATATACAATACATACTTGTCTTTCTCACTGAACTATGCACATGATTAAAGTTCTGAATTCACCTATCAGTATAGAGAGTAACACTGATTAAGGCCACAATGTTCTCACCACGCACCATTTTGAAATCCTTTTCTGGGACCAGAAATGAACTACAGAAAGTCTAGTTATGTCAAATCTCATGCGTATGAACATATATATATATATGTATATATGGTATGAAAAGGTTTGTGGGATTTCCCCATCAAAATGCAAATGGTAGGTTTAAAGCTGTATCTTTGTTTTTAGCAGTTTTTGTGGTTTATTTAAGAACAAATGAAAGATGTATGTGAACCACCTATTTGTTGTCTTCACTGCACAACCTGGCATTGGGAATGGTGACTCTGCTGGACAGCTGGGATGCTCTTTCCACAATGGCTGTTTCTTGGAGGAAAGACTGAGCGTCTCAGCACAGTAACACCTGTTACACATGAGTGGCACTTGCAGCTCCTGGACGTGGTGGGCCAGGGCTTCCCAGAAGCCACTGGGCAGCATGAGCTTTGTTTCCCTGTTGCTCCCATAATCAGTGTTAGGCATCATGATCTGGCCTTTGAATCTTCTCTGCATGCTGTTGCCCCTGGCTTTCCATAATGCTTGACCTTTACATACTGACTGGTGCAGATGAACACCTTCGTCCTCTTTTTTACGATGCTGGACTTCAACAGAGGTCTGAGGGCAGCGGTGGTGCCCAGCAGGAGATGGCGGTCCTCTTGGCAGGCAGCACCAAGGAAGAGGATGAAGTATTTCTAATACAAAAAATGCACTGGAGCCATCCTTCCAGTTTAGTGACATTTTTGATTTTTCAAATTTTAAGTCTATTTGAGTATCCTCCAAGACTTTTCCTATTTTTCTTGCTGTTGTTGTGCTCTAGCCTGTGACTTGGGTCTTTCTAAAGCCTGTTCTTGTTTTTAAACCCACTGTGAACTAGATATTCAAATAAGTTCTCTGTACTTAGGAACCTGGAGTCAATTGGAGAAAGGCATCTATAGGACCTTTACTGTTATATTACAAAGACAGACTGAGTGCAAAAACAATGAAAGGGAGAAAAGAGAAAGGGATAATTAGTAGAGAAATTTGAAAGTGTGAGCAGGATATTTCAAATCCCAAAGAGCATTAGAACAAATCAAGCCTGAAGTGTCTGTTACATCACTAACATTGTTACATTGGGAAGGATCAATTCCAAAATGATGGTATTCACTGGAAGAACCAGTTCTTTCATGACAGACATTACATGCATATTAAAAAAATTCAAGTTTTAACATGGTTTTCTTTGTAAAAGAAGAGGAGGTAGTAACTTTAAACCTTCCTCAGCCAAAAGTATACATTTCTGTCAAAGAAAAAGCAAAGATAAATCAATATTTTCCAGTCAGATGTTATTTATAAGGTTATATGTTTGTTCAAGATTGTGCTTTCAATTTGTGTGGTATTTTTGCCACTTAGAAAAACCAACCTCTCCCACATTCTGCAAATAGAAAAAGGGAGACATTACTGGGATAATAAAGGAAGAACATATATGGATGTGGTTGTAGGTAATTTGTTAGACTATTTTAAGGTTATCCCAAAGTTCAGGACTGTCAGTGTTTTACACAAGCTGAAGTGGGTAAATTGTCTTTAGAGGAAAGGTGAATTTTTTTCTTTTGACTCAATTAGACAAGTGGAAGTAGGACTTTTAAAGCAGGAAGAGGGCATTGCAAGTTGTAACATGGTGGAATGTAGAATTATTAATTCATACTTATGTGTGGGCTGAAGGTAGTAAAAAACTGTTTTCAGAAACTCAGTTTTGTAAAGGTGGATATATATGGAGGTAAACATTTACAAATATATAAACTAGTGAGCCAGATCTTCACAATCAGGTAATGGTCTAAGTTGGGAGCCAGGTTAAATAGTTCAGATTTTTTAAATGACATGAATGAACTCAAGGAGACAATTTTCTGTGTAATGTGATAGAGAGGGTCTCTTCATTATCTATACAATGTCAGCCAGTAGACCAGGAGCTGAAGAATAGAGAGCCTCAGCCCAACTCTGCAGGATTCAATCCTGCAATCTGTGGGACTCCATATATATTTCCCACCAGGTCCAGGATTAGGGAAAAGTAAATTTAAAATTTCAGCAATCAAGCTGGGCTCTGGTGGTTCATGCCTGTAATCCTAGCTACTCGGGAGGCTGAGATCTGAGGATCACGGTTC